TGGGGTTGTTGTGACCCAGGTGCAGGACCAGCACTGAGCCTCGGTGAACCTCACACACTTAGCCTCGGCCCATCGACGCAGCCCATCCAGACCCCTCTGCAGGGCCTTCCTAACCTTCAGCAGATCAACACTCCCACCCAACTTGGTGTCACCTGCAAAGTGACTGAGGGCGTACTCGGTCCCCTCACCCGGATCGCTGGTAAAGATATTAAACAGAACTGGTTAGTGATTATGAGATCATGATTAGTTAGTTAATATATGTAAGCATTTGGAAATCTCTAGAAGAAACACGGTAAGTACACAGTACTATGTATTTTGAATAGACACTGTAGTAGCTTATAGAGGACTGCACAGCACAAGAACAAGACACAACAGTCACAGCTGCGGCCACAGAGCCTCCAACTAGATATAAGGGGGGTGAATCTCAGTGCAAGTGGTAAAATGCTGCAACAGGCTGTCCAGGGATGCTGCGGCATTTCCATCAGAAATAGTCAAAAGTGATCTGACTTAGAAATTAACCCTGTTTTGAGCAAAAGGTTGGATTAGAAGACCTTCAGACATCCCTTCTCATACGAATTCTTCCAGGATTCTCTGATTACCAAGTATTTGCAGTCTCACTTCATAATTATTTGATGCTGGAGAATAGCGTTATACAGACACTGGAGAGAAAAAGAAAACGCAATAATTCATTTGAAGCGGTATGAAAGACTCTAGGCTAAATGTCAGCTGTGAGAATCTTTCAGGGACTTAGAGTAGCTGTTCATAAACCCAACGTATTTACAGTATTTCAGGTCCTGTAGCAGCAGACTCTTCTGCATCTGTCTGCAAAAAATACGGTTTCTAAAATATATGTAAACTAAGGATTTTGATTCCACTTTGGTGTCCTGTTGACAAAGTGCCTAAGCTTTACCTTTCTGTTATTTAGAATGACAGCAGGCCTTCCTGACACTTTTATAGTCTTATTATACGTACTTGGGAGCACGTTACTTTTATTTTATTGATACTTATTTTGTTATGTTGTCTGTTTCTTTTAGGACTTGTTGACCTTCCAGAAGAGAACTTTGAGGCTGCTTATCAGTCCATTACACTACCTGAAGAATTTAATGATTTTGAAACACCACTACCTGATTTAAAGTAAATGCTTCCCTAGTTTTTTTTTCCTTATTTTAGTATGTTCAGAAGTAAAAGATATCCTTGCTGTTATCTGATCAAGACTCAGATGGAATTGTTTTGATTTGATAACTGAATCCTCCTAAATTCTGAGTCAGCTTTGCAAGATTAGTCATAGGAATTGTGCTTTTGTAGAGTTCCTCAAAGTCCGTTTAATCAACAGACCTTTACATTGAAATAATGTATTGAACTTAGACTTCAGGATTTTAAATCGGCCAAGTGAAGGCTGCAAACAACTTTCTGACCTCAAGAGAAGATACAAAATTTAGTATAAATCCCGTTGTAAGACCAAGAAAGCTCGGGCTAAGTCACCTCCCAATGTTGTACTGTTCCACTGTGTAACTGCATTTCATTTCCGCTCCATTGCTCTTTGGGGCCGGGGTATTTTATCAGCAGCAGTCAGCTTGGCTCCCAATGAAAAGCCGGCATATGTCTTTGGGTTTTCTGGCACGAATCAGCATTAATGTAGAAAAACTGATAAAAAGCAGGAGGCCAAGACATGTTTCTGGTGGCTCTGATGCCCCCAAAGGTCCCGGATAACAGATTTCCACTGAGGCTTCCTCTGTACCGCGTCATAGATACAGTTTGGTGTGATCTGTAAGTGTTTCGTATTTGGTAAGTACAGCTGCGATGTAATGCTATTTATTCAAGTACCTCAGTGTGCTAACTCTGTAAAGCGTGCCTTCTCTGCCTACTCAAAGAGTCCGTGCAGCTTGATTTACAGATGAGGGCGTTACACTAATTAGATGCCTTCCATGTGACGAGTGTTTGTTGGATAGCAGGGCTTGGCTGTGAACAAACTCCCCTAAGCCCAAGTTTTCTGCCAAAAGAGAGTGGAGAAATATGAAACATGGAGAGGAGCATGGGTGCTTCCCTCATCCTTATAGATACATCTGCTGTTTCTTGAGGGGGTTGCTTTCTGAGTGTACCTCTGGATCATTTGTTCACAGAGGTCCAGGTGTGGGGAGTGTTTCGAAGCTGAGTTAGCTAAATGCTCTCCCCTCCCTGGTGGAGCTCTCCCCAGCTGTCTCCTCTCAGGGCTACTGCAGATTCAGTCTTCGCTGTAGAACGCACATTGGAGATTGCACAGGAACTTTGGCCAGCAGAAAAGGCAGCTGCCTACTTGCTTAGAGGTACCAATTTGAATAAACATATAGCACCTGTTTTCCATATGCTTATTTTGAGCTTTCAGAGGAAATTCAAAGCAGTGAATTTTATCAATAAAACCTTAAATGGCTTGACTGAGAATAGCTTTGGGAAACAGTTGTTCTTTGTCCACAGAAGTGAGGATCAGGTGGGGTACTTTCAATGCCATAGAAAAGAGAAGCTATCTTTTGGGGGTTTATGATAAAGTGTCAGGATTGAAGACTGTTTAGAAACAAGTTTTCACATACCAGTTAAATGATCAATGGGTTTCAGTTCACCCTGTATTTTGTATAATGTTTTTTTCATCAGTGCCATTGATGTTGCTGAACATTTTACCTTGAATCAGAGCAGAGCTGAAGACATCACACTTACAGAGGATTACGAAAGCAATATACTTCTCTGTGATAGAAACTTTGGTGAGAGAAGTTGAGAAATTAGAAATATTCCATAAGGAAAAGTGTGTTTTATGCAAAATGTTGTACAGTCTGAGTCCTTTCCACATGTGAAAAAGCTATTATTAAAAGTGCATTTGTTTCACGCTTGTACTGATTGGCCTGTCATACCATCTTAGGCTTAATTTTTTGTGTGAGTACTCTGCCGAAGTAATATAATACAGTATTGGAGACTGAGAATCAAACCCAACATTTTCTGTTAGCTAAAATTGTTTACTGTTTATTCCCTTTGAGGTATGGGATATCTTACAATCTTTTAAAAATTCTTTGCAAAATGAGGAAATGGATAAATGTGTCTTTCAAAAATTCATGCAGATGAAGCATCAGAAATTCTGTTGTTTATTCAGATGAAGAACCAGATGCACTAAGAAAACAGAGCTTCTTTGGCAGCAGCATCTTAACGAGCAGTAACAGTCTGGTGGCTGATCACAACTCTGCGAGCAGGAACGGAGACAAGTCTGCACTGCATGAAGATACTTACTGTTTTGAGCACGACTGTTTTGGAGATGAGGAGGATGCTGCAGATATGATTGGTAGGGTTTGCCACAGATAAACAGAATTAGTTTCTTTGCAAATATTTTTATCCTTGCAGGAAAACAAACAAGGCAGCATAGAAGTGTTTGTTTTCAAACATAGATTCTGTATTTTTTGTTGTTTTCATACTTCATTTTTTTCTACTTGTCACTAAATCTATGATCGCATAGACATTGCCAAGTAAAATGGTTTTAAAGGATATATTTCAGTTTTTTAGAATTAAAGGCATTTAATTTATACTTAATGTTTAACAATTTCTATTTTTAAAAGTGAAATACTGCAGCACTTTTACCCTTATTGTTGTAGTAACAATGGCAGCAAAGTAGCTTTACATCTCTGTGGTTTAGAGTATTTATGTAAACCTTTATAGATTTATACCTTTTAAACAATATCAATATCATACTTTTCAAAGGAAAGGTGGAAATCTCAAAATTAAGACTACCTTTCTCCCTTTTGTGCTGTTGAAGACAGCCGTACCATTGACAGCCATCTGTGGAAGCTGAGCTTTTTTTGTTTGCCGAGAATTAACCTTAAATAAGTAACATTACGCTGTGTCAGGCTATTTCGTGACTACTGAGGCTTAGAATGATTAAAACTATGCATTTTGTATTTAAGAAATCCTGTTGAGGGATGAGCAAAATGGCCTAGATAAAGACATTCTTGATATGGAGGAAGAACGTCCTTTGTCACAAGATCTGCCAGAGAACAGCACAGCCAGTGAGTTTGCAGCATCTGCGCCGTCTTACATGAACCCTCTGTTCCTGCGTTAATGCCTGAAGTTACTCACATTCAGCTTTGTATAATATCCTGTGCCTTTTCCCTTTGTTCACTTATTTTGCCTTTTATTCTGATGTGCTTCATCCACCATTTTAGGTATAATTTAATTTGACCTAGGGATGCCAGATTTGTAACTTGACATTGCTTAGAAACACTTTTATATGACATCCTGTTGGATACGCTGCTGATCCACCCCACTGCGTAGACAGTGTGATCCCACGTTTGTAGGGGAAAGGAAACTGAGTAAGGGTATGCTGTAACTTTGAACTTTACCTATGAGTATTTCTGGCTTCATATTTCAGTGACAAATGACACTTTAGTAGTTCATAAAGGTGGTGTTACTCTTCTTTTGGTTTGATATTGATGAGAGAAATTAATTTTTGAAAAGTGTTTCTGGAATTTTTTTTATATCTGAAATCCTTATACCCCCCTCACACTGTTACTGTAAAACTGAGAATTTTAGAACAGCTTTAAAGGGAAACAGTGGCACTTGCCTCTCCTTGCACTAGTCCTGGTACTACCTGTTCCTTTTATGCTGACAGAAATGTCTACACTGCCGTGCACTTGCATGGAACTGGAAACAGATATGTATAGAAACTAAACACTTTTCCCCCTAAACACTTTTTGTCGGGGGGTTTTCCTCCAGGTCAGTTCTGCAGTCTGTTCCACCACCTGGTCATACAGGTTCTGGTGTCAGCAAAGGGAAGCGTGCCATGCAGAAGATGAGCAGCAGCAGTGCCAGTTATTACTGGTTAAAGTGACTGTGAGATTATAGACAAAATCAGAGTTTTCTAATTCTGATTTTTTTTGACTGATACAATTCTGTGTCGTGAGACTGAGAAATTATTCCATCTTGTAAACTTTTTTTTTATTTGGGTTATTTGCTGGGTTTTCTTATAGTTGAGTCCAACTGCGCAGACACCACCATTAAGAAAGTCAGTCACCTAACAGATGAAACGATACTTCTGTTGAAAGAAGAAGAAGGATTTGTGCTTGAGCCGGTTGATGATACAGGTCAGAACTCGACCAGTTTCTTGCTGAATGTTTGCATTACCTAAGTTTGTTCTTCTTCATGTTAGTGAAAATATTTGCAAAACAAATTATTCCCACTTTAGATTTCATCTGTTCCTGCTGTCAGAATTCTATTTTATGGTAACTATTATACAAAACCAGTAGCAGGTTATTCATCTGATCGGCCCAAATCTCTGCTTACAGTTTTTTCCATGTACCAAATCCAGCTTTGTCGCTTTGTGGTTCTGCCAGCAGCGCGAGCCCAGCCTGTTCATGAGTGTTACTGAACTTTCAGCTGAAGAACTGTTATTGCCAGTGACTTTTATTGTGTAAAACAACAATCTTAAAACTTTCAGGCCTTTGTAAAATTTTTGTTTGTGAACTTTTAACTTCAATGAGATCCAAAAAGAAAAATGTTTCATTTCTTCTGTGAGTAAACCGAAATGTTGCCTATCACGTTGGTAACTGTAAGTAAATAAACAAGTTCATGTTGACACTGATATTTAGAACACTGGAATTTTCCAGCCTGCCAAAACAACTAAGTTATGGCTATATAACCAATCCATGTCCTTCTTTCGTGTTTACTACGTACATCTTAATTAAATTGCTAAAGGGTTAACTGACAAATACAGATACTAATTATGAGGTAATGAAACCTGTTGAGTACATCAGCAGTTCTTGGAACAATTAACTCCCTGATGGATTAGAGATAGCTTATTCAGTCTTGTTGGTATATCATGTGTTCTCATTAAGTCATCACGTTCCCGGTTCTTTAGTACCATAGTCATATGTCTGCTGTAATTAAACATATGTGAATTTCCTGTGCAGGAATACAAAGAGTACACTTTATGAAAACTTTTGGAGAAATGGCCCATGCACTTGTACTTTGACTTTCAAGTCTGGGTGGTGTTTCGGGGGGTCAGCAGCCTGTCTGTTTGATTCACCGTGCTTTTCTTTTGTGCTGAAGTGTTCTGTCAATAGACCTTATTAGACTTTTTTTGTTAATACTTGCTCTATTTAGCTGTCACCCAGAGGAAAAAAAAGAAAAGAAAGAGGAAGTTGCTTGTGGATGTAGACAAGGAACTCAGCTGCAAAGCTATATACAACCAACTTACCAACTGCACGGACATCCTTGCTACATTAGACCTTGCACCCCCAACAAAAAAAACAATGATGTGGAAGAAATCAGGAGGTGTGGATAAACTCCTGTCCCACGCTACACAGCCTGTGGTTCACGCGGAGCTGCAAATGGTAAAGATCAATTCCTTGTAGGTTTTTATGCCACTGTATAGATTATGGGATGGTTGTACATCTAGGATCTAACTGTGAGGGATTTTGAAGACTTGTTTTTTTCTGAACTCCTAGCAAACTGCAGGTGTGTGGTGTCACTGGAAGTATTGTTTTGCAGTACAGTTCAGTTGGATACCTGATGATTATTTGCATACTCACCACTAATTGCTTCATCAGAAAGATCACCATAGAGCTCACAGCTTTAATCTCCAGCAGCCCAACAACAAGTAAAAAATGAGGAAGAAACTCGAGAGCTGATGTTTCATTTCACAAGCTGGCACCTGACGGATTGTGCACTAACACATAACTTTTTAGACTGCTGTCAATTTCTTTTCTACTTTCTACTTTGGTTTATTATTTTGTTTTGTTTATGTTCTGTAATCGGTATGAGACCACATCTTTCTTCTACATTTACTTTAAAGGTATGTCAGGCTTAAACATTATAATAATAATATTGTTAATGGCTTTGGAAAGATGGTATGCCAATTTGTTTTGTACTTTGCAAATTGGAGATTAAGCTTCCAGCTGGAGAGCAGTCAGGGACTTGCCTTTCAAAGGCCCAAGAGGTTCCCCATCACTCTATCACTTTGGCTACAAGGGTGGGCCAGAGCACCCTTTCCTGCGCTGTGGACCTTACTGCTCTCGTGTTCCCAGCAGCAGATCATTCAAAGAAGCTGTAAGTTTAGAGCTGGTGACGAGATAAAGAAGAGATCAACGTGCATACAAGGTGATACAGAAAGATGTGGTGTAAACTCTGTGCAGCAGCTGTACATTAATTGTACTGTTGCTTCTCTTGTGTGGCTCGGCCAGAGCTGGGAGGCAGAGTCTCAGGCAAACAGCTCTGCAGGTTCCTTACAGCAGCACAGCTTCCCCGCTTACAGTCGAGGTGCAGAATTACAACTGGCTCGTCATGAGGATGAAAAATACTCGCACACCAGTACATGGGGAGAGAAAGCCACACACAGATCACTGCAGGTGTTTCTGTCTTTCATCCTACCTTACCTGCTGCCTTCAAGGAAAAACGACCTGAGCTGTTCCTAAGATGTTTCTTCATGGAGTTCACTGCCAAATTTGAAGCTGCAGAAGGCTATTACTTTAAAAAAAATTTGCAGATTTTCAGAATGACCTAATTCAAATATCTAAATTCTGGGTTGCAGTAATTAATATGCAGCTCATATTCATACCTTTCTGTTGATGTTTGCAACTAATCTGACATGATATTCTGAAAGCAAACAAATAAAAACAATTCTTTTCAGTTATTTGCAAAATGCTTCAAGAGTCATGGATTTAAGATGAGAAGAAATGGAATACAGAGGGGGTCTGAAATGGAAGAAACAAGGAAAGAGCAAGATACCACAGGTAGTATTTTAATTCTGTTGTGGCAGAATTAACTGTTAGAAAATATTTCCTATTTTACATAGTGTTTGAGAGACAGGTGCACGGGGTTTGTGTGCAGTATTCTACAAATCAAGGGCCAAAAGGTTAAATGTTAAGGAAATCGGATGTTAATTATTTTCTTAAAAAAAGTTTTTTTTGTTTTCATAAGTACTTTGCTGTTCTTTTGTTCCTTAGATCAGAAATGAAATGCAACTCTTTTTCTTGTTTGTGGCATAAGGAGGTATTTTTGATTTCACCTTTGGTTTCTCTAATTGTCTACCAAACTGCAGTTTTGTTTTGTTTTGTTTTTAAAAAAGGAGCTACCCACTTATTCTGAGTTTGATCAAACCGCTCTCCAAATTTCAAAATTCACGTAAATAACTTCTATTTGTATCTTGAAGATTGTGTTTTGGTTAATATCAGGCAAGAAGAAATGTTCCATTTTAGGTTTTCTGAAGAGGTGAAGCATCTGCTTTCACTCCTTTGCTCTGCTGGAAATATAATCCGTATGTCTGCCTCAGAAGTTAATCAACAACAAAAAAAACTCCACCTCCTGCAAGTCCATAAAGGTCAACTTTTAGAAAAGGAAAAACTCCCTTGGAAGGTTCTGCTTCTTCCATGGTCCTGTTGGGAATGATATTTGTTCTGTAGTTACTCTTTCTGGCCCTTAGTCTCAAAGATTGCTAACTAGGGTGCGATTTTTGCTTTTCAGTGGTCTTATTTCAGGACAGCGATTCACAGTAATTGCCTCTTAAACCTTGTTTTTTATTAATACAGAAATGCTGATAGTAGAAGAGCCAAGTTACCTGCAGGAGTCAGCTCATTCAGAGACTGAGAGAAAAATCAGAAATGATTCGTTTATGTTGACATCACAGAATAACAGAAATGAAACTGATGATAACTGTGGTGAAACTATAGTGAGCAGTTTCCATAAATTTTAGAGACCTAAATGTATTTGTTGGTTTCATTTTATGCTAGGATTGCATTTAAAACACATTAAAAAATTACTAATATACATTTGAAAAGGATGCTAGGGACAGCCGATATAGCATTAGGTAGTTTGTGTCCAGAGAGCTTATTTATAAGCACTTTGGTAGACTCTCAGAACGAATGAACAATTAATTAAAATGTCTATTAATCAGTATAGATTACAATCTAATCACTAAGTATAAATGAAAGCTTAATAGGAAATATAGCCTCTTGGCACTGAAGTGATAAATATAATCATCTTTATAAAGGATAAACTTATCTTTTGTGTCTCACATTGAGGAAAAACTTAAGCGATAACAAGGTTATCTATTTCTGCCATCTTTATTTAGGCTAACGTGAAAGGGCATTCTTTAGACAATATATAAGGCTCATTACAGTTGGAAAATAATGACAAAATTGGACCGAATGGCAGCAGAAAATGTAGGGTCTGTGCCTGAGCTGAGCCCGTAGGTGTAGGTCCAGCTGTAGGACAAATGCAACAGCAGGGTCCTTTCCTATGTGAGAAAAGGCATGGCAGAACTAGCAACTACTAAATCATTTTGGGAAACGTTTATTACAATAAATTCTTTGAGCAGAATTATGTAATTGAGAATAACAACATTCTATGCAAAAATTGTAACGCCTAGTGATCGTCCTTTCTGTTCTCACAGCAGGATGGAACAGCTTTCTCCGAGAGCTCCTCACTGGCGAACGATTCACTGGACCAAGAAGCTGAAACCCCACAAGCTGAGTTAACAAATGTACGTGTACTTGAAGGTGGCAACTCTGACATTTCAGAAGAGAACTGTGTTCTTTCTCACAAATATTTCCCCCCCAAAAAGTGATGGCATCATGAACTCACAGTGAATTTTGGTGTACTAACATCATTTTTAGTACGTGTTTTGCCAATCATCAAAAACTTTATAGCTTGATAATCAGGGATACATGTATTCCAGCATTCAAAGGTTACAGTCTGTGAGGGAAATGGCTCCTTATTTAGAGGTTTAAAGCACAATTTAGAGATTGTACTTACTGGCTATGAGGATACTCAGACACTCTGAAACAAGGGCAGACTTATTCTGTTGACTTCAGCAGTTAAGCCCAAAATCTAAAGCCAAATTTTTGAACATCCTTTTTGGCCCCTGACCAGTGCAAATACTGTCACAACCCCAGTCGTGCAGAACAGTATCTTATTGCGAAGCTGCCTCCCAGGCCTCCCTGGGACCACTTCCATAACCTGCTATTGCACCTGATCTCTCTCTTTGTAGCAGAAAGAACAGAGTTAGCATTCCTTTCTCTGTTTCACAAAGCCTAGTGTGACCGCAGAGGTGTCAGAGGTCCCGGATATCCTGAGCATGGCCATCCAAATGCCCAGCTCCAGCTGGATTTTCAGCCAGGCTAGAACTCTTGTCCTTTCTATCATCATGGGGTGAGACTTTTTACACATGCTGTCTAACCTTCTGTTCTATTTCCTCTCAAGGAGCTAATGAGGAACAGGAAAGACAGTGAAGAAATAAGGTGGAGCAAGAGAACGCTTCAGTTTTTAAAAACTTTACAGGTACCAGTGCTGGATTTTGTAATGAGATGCCAAAACCTGGTGTCGATTTCAGTTGGACCATGTCAGAAAATCTCCTACTCAGACTGTTGATGATATTGCTGCCTCTCATACACAGCATGTAACTGCGTTTTTATTGGGTATTTATGTAGGAAACCAGGATTCTGGGTGCCTGACATGGTGTATTCTCCCACAGCTACTGGAATCGTGAGAATTTTGTGAATGTTTGCTTCCATGGCAGTGTTTGCTGTCACGCTAAGCCTTCGCTCTCTTCCTTCCATGAGCATGTTCAGGAGCATCTCTGCAAACCCCAGTCCCTAGCTCCTTACAGGTTGCCAGCTCTCTGCTGAGCACTGCAGGGTGCCATCATTTGGCTCTTCCTCTGCTCGAGCTGTTTCTGAGGTGAAGGCTAGGGAAATGAGGGAGAGTTACGTTAAAAAGAAAGCTGGTAACACCTTCTTTAAGAGGTTTTAATGCCCCAGTGCTTTCAAGGTGCTTGAAACTTAGCAGAGAGGGTATCCTTTGCATCAGGAAGGCTTATTCTGCTTCTTTTGCAGAAATCTTTGTAAAACTGGCGAAGCTGTAATGTATGATATCATACACCGTATCGACAGGACCGCAGCAGGAGCCAGCACTGGCTGCCCTGGTGCTGAGCGTCCAAACCCATGCCCTAAGGGCGCAGTGCTGTCCCTTCCGTTCTGGTGCTTCAGCGTTGGTCTGGTTGGGAGGGTGTAGAAAAAAACACAGCAAAAAGTTATTTTCCTTCAGGTCAGTTCTCTAATCCAATGTGCCACGTGGCTGAACGGAGAATGGAGGAAGGCAATGGAGAAATCCCAGGGTGGGCAAGGGCGTGGGGAGCAGGTTTTGTCTGCAAAACACACCAAACTGTGCTCCAAGCCTAGCTCTTCCCTAGTGCCCGAGCTGAACTTCACAACCTTCTTGTTTGTTTGGGTTTTTTTTAATTTTATGTGAATATATTTCTTAGGTTCTGTGCAATGCCCATAAATAAATACTTACATACGAGTGTAGCTACTGAAAACCAGGAAATAATAACACGTGGTTAGCTGTGACTGACATTGCCTGTGATACAGCTGGCACTCGGTATCCAAAGAACAGGGTACGCAATGATTTTTATCATTTCGAAACATGAGCACCACTACAGATGCGCTTCATCGCATGCTTCAGCAGTTTCATCGAATTCAGTGGAACTGCGGGCACATGTAGATTTTAGTAACATAGGTAGGTGCTAGCAATATTAGGGCAATCAAATGCTAAATAAATGCAAACGCCAAGATAAGATCCTGTTCAAGGCATCCAAGAAGAAAATGTTCACTCCAAGCAGCACTCTTCAGTCCAGACTTGACGGGATCTGGTCTTACTGGCAGTGAAGCCAACCTAACTGATTTTTTTTGTTTCCCTTATGCAGCACCTGGAGCGATCAGGCGTGCGCTCTTTCAGTTTTCGGGAGCTCTGCCGGAAAAACAACCGGAAAGAAGCTGCAGCCCAGTTTTACGTCATTCTTGTTCTAAAGAAGCAGTCGGTCATTGAGCTCAGTCAGAGCGCTCCCTTTGCCGACATCAGAGCCACCGTCGGCCCAATGTTCAACGCTCACTGAATCATGCAGTATTCGGGTAAGCTAAGAAAAACAAATCTTATTCTGAACTTTTCAGCAAATACATTTCCTGGAAAAATGACTGAATGTCTTGTCGAATGGCGGTAATGAGCAGAGCTGCCTTTCCTTTGTACCTCCCGCAGAACTGCCAAGCGACGGGCTTGTGCAGGCTGCCTCAGCGTTGGTCACCAAGGTGTTCACTGCTATGTTGATTTTTAATATCGATGTTTATATGATGAGCAGTTACTTGTTCTGTTAATAAAATGTCGCCAAAATACATATTCTACATAAGAGACTTACGTTGTGAGGGATTGTATGAAAGTCCTTAAAATCCTTTCTTAGAGACCGGCTTTCGAGGTTCAGTTATTTTTACCAGGGCTTCTGTGTGTTAATTATCTAACACCATCAGTAAGAGAAGTCTGTTAAGCTCTCTTTATAAAAAAATTTAATCTATTTGAAATTATTCCTTTCAGAGAATGTTCAGTATTTGGTATTTTACATTCTAGCAAGCGACTGTCTCCAGCATTGGTTTCATGTCTTCAGGCAGAGAGAAGTGATGCTATCCCTAGAAGAGTCACGTAAGCTTCAGGAAGAAATCCTATTCCCTCGAAATCCTGCAGTTTTAGCTTTCATGGAGCACATTTACTTCAAGACTAACACTTTTATTTATGTGTAGACATATTTAAAAATGGATGTTAAACCGAAATATTATTAGTTCTTTGGGGTTTTTTTATCTAATTTAGGATAAGTTTTAACACTTTTGCTGTCATTTTGTCAAGTTAGTGTTTTCCAGCTGCCTCAAACCCATGACGGACGCGATGTTTGTGTGCATTCAGCGCTCCAGAGCGGTACGGTGCTGTGGGTGTGCTGACGTCTCTAAATGTGAAATCAATAAAAATCACAAGTAGATGTTTCCTCAGCTCGGTGGGGTTTGCTCTGAAGGATCAAAACTGGCGGCCGCCTAAGCTGTCCTTTGGGTTCGCCTTCTCCGAGTCAGCGGGTTTGGTGATTTTCTTGCAATTTGACACGATGGATGATACTCTCATCCTGGCTTTCAGGTGTTCGCTCACCTCAGTGACACCCCTGTGTGTCCGGTCCTGCTGACGCCTGCTCTTCCTGTCACACCTGGATTGATTTGTGTGTGCAGGGTTTAGGGAAGGTGAGGAATTGATTTTGCAGGCTCTGTTCAGAGGAGTAAAAAGGCTTTAAAATGGCAGAAGGCCCCGTGCT